AGTAGCTGTGTTGGTTGCAAAGCTAGTTGCTCTTGCACGTCTTATCTCTCTTGTAGGCCTTTCTTCTAAGGGTTTTAAGACATAAGATGCTGTTACTGGATTACACGCTATTCGTGCTTCCTCATTGACAAATTCAGAGAACTCTTTGAAACTTGGGAAGTTTTTGCCTTGATCTAACTGTTTAGTCACATAGCGATTCCATCCAGAAGCCACTTGTTCTGGTAGCTTGGCTAGCATCCTGTGGTTTTCTAGATAGTCGTTCAATACTTCTAGTCCTTGAACATGTGGGATAGCATTGCTGCATGCTTGCAGGAAGTCGCCATACTCTTGGAGCTTGAAGTGTTCTTTAGGACCTATTTTAGGCCAGTTTATCAACTTCTCTCTGAAAGCTCTTTGTACTAAGAAGGGATGACCATATCCATATCTTGCATTTAATTTTTCCCAAGCTTGCTTGTAGGCTTCTTCATCTTTCCTATAGAAGTTACCTTCAAGAACCTTTTTTGCTTCTCCGCCAGTATACCGCTGGAGGTAGAATAACTTGTCCACTGGACGGGAGCAATTATGTTCAATGATCATTTCAAAACTTGCCTTCCATTCTATAAACTTCAGTACGTCTCCGGAGAATATAGTAGGTTCCGGAACAGGAAGTCTAGTGAGAAATATTCTCTGAGGTTTCGCCGGGTCAACAGTTGTAACATTCCCATCCTCGTGACCACTGCCATGACATATGGGAGTTGAATTATCTGGTTCTCTTTTTTCCACTTTGTTCTGAATCAGGTGAGTCTCTCTTCTTTTCTCTCTGAGCAGGGATGGAAGGACTATGACTTATTTCTTCACTACATGCTGGAGATTTCCTTCCATTTTCCTGGGCGTAAGGAAGAACGTAGGAGTCAGCTTCTCTTCTCTTTAGTACTGATTTGGATCTATGACTACCCTGATTCGTATCCTCTTCGTGCACTCTGAGTCTGGCTTCTATAATCTTAACTTCCTTCTGCCTTTCCAGACTTTCCATTTTATGGCGCTGAGCTTCCAGTTCGGCTTCCATTTTATGGCGCTTGAGCTTCCATTTTATGTCGCTGAGCTTCCATTTCCATTTTATGGCTGAGCTCCATGGCTTCCATTTTATGGCTGAGCTTCCATTTTATGGCGCTGAGCTTCCATTTCCTGGCGCTGAGCTTCCATTTTATGGCGCTGAGCTTCCATTTCCTGGCGCTGAGCCTCAATGGCAGATTCCATCTCAACTTCTGCTCTTTTTTGGCAGCGAGTTGTTCAGCTAATTCCTTTCTTTTGGCTGACGTACTTGAGAACTCTGTTGTTATGTGGCTGGCACTTCTGCTAGTGATGGAAGTCACACTTGAGATTGTGGTTCCTCCTAAGGACCTATAGTCTTTCATGAAGAGCTCATTCATTCCCTTTCGTGCCTTGACTTCATCATAATTTGCTGCAGATGATAGTTCTCTCATAAGCTTCACTAAATCCCTAGTGACTGCGGTACATGTATCCATGTTTCTTACAATATCCTGGGAGGGTGTCAAGGACGACCGCAAGTTGACATATGCTGTCATAAGCTCTCAGAATCTTCTACTGTCTCTATTATTTCACTCAAATTCTCCTTTATGCTTTCTTGTTTTAGCTTTCTGCGAATGTCTATGATGTATACTTTCCACCTCTCATACATTCGGGCAAACTTTTTTTCTTTCAGTGCTGCCTCTTGCTCCAAATTTTCTAGCACCTTTTGGGTCGGTTTTCTGTCCCGTGATGAACGTCTTAGTTCACCTGTTTCAGCTATATTTTTGTTTGGGGCGAGACTACTACGTTTCATTGCACCTTTCAGATTCAGACAGGTTCTCTTGCTCTTCACCTTCTACCATATCTATCATTGCATCCGCTAACAGTGGGGTGGCAATGCTAGGCTCAGCCATTTCTGAATGCTATAACAATTAATATGAATAATAAGGACCTGTCACTTTAAATGCAATACTAACAAATGCAAGAATAAATGACTTTCACTTTACATGTAATAGCACCAAAACACAGGCAATAAATGACTTTCACTTTAAATACTTCAGAATCATATACTATAAAAAACTCTCTTTTTATTAAAAGTCTGTATTCTCTTGAGCACAAAAATGTCTCTTGCAGAAACCTATGTGCATAAGTGAGTAATAAAGGAAAGCTCTGACCTTAATTGAAGAGCAGGATACCGTGATCTGAAGGTTGCAGAAACAAATGTCAGTCTTAAAGGAGACTTTTCTTTGCGGTCTTGCGCGGTGCGCGGTGACTTTGCGATGCTCTTTGCTTTGCGATGCTCTGCGGTGACTTTGCGATGCTGCGGTGACTTTGCGATGCTCTGCGTGACTTTGCGATGCTCTGCGGTGACTTGCGATGCTCTGCGGTGACTTGCGATGCTCTGCGGTGACTTGCGATGTATCGTGAACTCTCTGGATGCAACACGTGGTCTCTTGATGGATAGCGGTGCGGGCACTCTAGCTCTGGACTCTGGCCCTCCCCCCATGCATCTCTTTCTCTCTCTAGGGGTGCAGGAGGTTTGGCGCTCTTTCTCTGACTGTCTTGCCTTTGCCGTTATGCCACTTTAAGAGTCGGCTGCAGTCTGACTAATGCGCACGTGCTATGGCCTGTACTGTTGTTCCGCTGAGGTGTCTCCGCGTGGCGGTATATGCTGGCGCTCTGTTTCTCTAGTGTACTCTTTACTGTGCAAGTTGAGGAGCGCTGTTGCTTGACCTCTGAGGGTAATAGTTCCACTGTGGCAGGCGCAGCACCCTTTGGTGCCTAGTGCGCTGTGGCATTAGAAAAATTATGCAATTGCTGTTTCTTTGTTTGATTAGACTGACTTTACTCTGTAATTCCTCCAATGCCGCTCTATGGATGCAGTAGGTTTAAAGAGCACACCGAATACTTTAGTTAACTTCTTTAATAACTTCAATCTTCTTCATATAACACTGCTTACAAGGCTTGTTTCTTTCATATTACAATGGTTTTTCTTTCGTATTACATTGGGTTGATTCGATAGATTCGATAGATTCAATAGATTCGATTAGATTCGATTATTATAATTCGATAGATTCGATATTCGATTATCTAAAGTGACGATTGATTCGTATTCGTAAGTTCGATTTCGTAAGTTCGTAAGTTCGGTGGAACTACAAGTAAAACACACACAACAGTTTTTACACACAGATCTACCTGCACTGCCAAACAATAGAGGAACACACAAGTGCATTAAATACCTATTTGGCCTTCTCTGCTTCCATAAAGCTTTTCTGATTGGAACTGTCTGTTTCCTCTTCTGTCTGGTGAGCATGTGTCTCTAGAAAATCCTAGCAGGGAGTTTTACACAGGCATAAATGTGAAACTGGCTGGGATTGGTTAAGGCTCTGTACAGTGTGAGGCTGTCTGTGATTGGCTCATCTTTAACTAACTCTTAAAGGCATATTTTCCTTTTCTGCTTCTGCTAACACAATGAATATATAAATGTCATATAACAATCAAAGACATAAATTACAGCAATGATTTTGCTTTTGTAACATATGCACATATATACTACTACTGAGGTTATTGGCAGGTTTGGTATACACATATATGTGAACCATATTAACAACCTAGGACTGGTCTTAGGTCATGCAATGCTGTACCCAAATGAATTTTTTACCATTTTTTTTGAAACAGATAAAGCTTTATTTTGGTGGTATTTATTCACCGCTGCGATTTTTATTTTTTTTGCTATGTAAATGAAAAAGTCCAAAAATTTTGAAAAAAAGTGTTTTTTTTATAAAATTTTGCAAATAAATAATATTTCATCATAAATCTTTGCCAAAATTTATTCCGTTATCTTTTTAGTAAAAAAAAAAAAATCCAAATTAGTTTATAACAAAAATTATAATTTTTAAAACATTTTTTTTGCATTTTTATTTTATTTTTTTATATTATTATTTTTTATATTTTTTTATTTTTTTTTTACATACTGTCACCCTAGCAGTATAGTGTCACCATGGTGAGGGGGGTGATGAAGATTTTTTTTTTTTTTTTTTTACACATTTCTTTTACACCCATATAGGATGTAAAAGCAATCATTTCTCTTTCTCTCTGTGTGTATTCATGCACTCATTGAGAAGTACTGACTGAGCTGTGATTGGTCGCAGCTTGTCACATGGTACAAGCCTGTTGTGAATAGGCTTATACCATGTGACCTCTGTGATCATTCACAGATTTCACACGTAGTAAGCAATGATGTCACAAGTGACATCTTGCTTACTACTTTGCATGTGATCACTGATTGGCCAATCAGTGATCACATGATCGGGACCTCGTACAGAGGTCCCGTCCGACGATCGGTGTTTCACTGTGTCCGGAGGACACAGCGGGCACCGGATCGCGGTGCTGCTGCGCTCTCCCAGGGAGCGCGCACAAGCAGGGTGCGGAGAGGCCGTTTATAGACGGCCACCCGACCCTGCAGTGCCACCGTCCGGCCGTTTATATGCAACGTCCAGTCGGGAAGTGGTTAAAATGTCACCTATGAATTGTAAAATTTATGGCATTTGTCGCCATTGCACGGGAATTTCGCAGTTTTAAAGTGTGACAAATTTGGTATCTATTTTCTCAGCGTAACATCATCTTTTATACTGTACCAAAAAAATTGGGTTATGTATTGTGTTTTTTTGCATGAATATTGAAAAAGTTTTTTGTTTTTTTTTAAATTGCATTTGAAACACCGCTGCACAGATACCGTGTAACAAAGAATGGCAGCACCCACCCATTTATTCTCTAGGACCTGTGCTTTAAAAAAATATATAATATTTGGGGGTTCTAAGACATTTTCTAGCAAAAAGTACTGATTGTTACATGTAAACAAAGAGTGCCAAAAATTCTTGATCTTCAAGTGGATATTTTATACCATATAAAGAAATACCATATTTCATGACCCATTACATAGGCTTTCTCTAATGTTTTTCATTTTTCTAACTGAGTTCGTTATATTACAGAGGATGGACACAATCATTATATCTGAAGTTAAGAAACCGAAACCGCTGTAACCACAGGGATTACCAGAACATATCCAGGAATGGTATACATTTTTCTCATTCAATTGATTTCTTTTGAAGTATTTTAACCACTTCAAGTCCTGACACTTTCACCCCCTTCCTGCTAAGGCCAATTTTCAGCTTTCAGTGCTATCACACTTTGAATGACAATTGCGCGTTCATGCAACACTGTACCCATATGAATTTTTTAGCATTTTTTTGAGACAAATAAAACTTTAATTTGGTGGTATTTATTCACCACTTGGATTTTTATTTTTTTGCTATATAAATGAAAAAGTCCAAACATTTTGAAAAAAAAAGGATTTTTGTTATAAAATTTTGCAAATAAATAATCTTTCTTCAGAAATCTTGGCCAAAATGTATTCAGCTATCTTTTTAGTAAAAAAAAAAAAAAACAAATTAGTTTATAACCAAAAATTATAATTTTTCTAAATTTTTGTTTTACTTTTTTATATTAATATTAATATTTTTTTTAAACATACTGTCACCCTAGCAGTACAGTGTCACCATAGTGACACTGTACTACTTGTGGGCGGTGATGAAGATTTTTTTTTTTTTTACACTGATTGCTTTTACACCCATAAAGGCTGTAAAAGCAATCATTTCTCATTCTCTCTGGCTGCATTCTTGCAGCCATTGAGAAATACTGTGAGAGCTGTGATTGGTTACCTGGCTTGTCACATGGTACCAGGCTGTTGTGAATAGCCTTGTACCATGTGACTTCTCTGTGATCATTCACAGATTTCACTAGTAGTAAGCAATGATGTCAGGAAGTAACATCTTGCTTACTACTATTCATATGATCACTGATTGGCCAATCAGTGATCACATGATCGGGACCTCACACAGAGGTCCCATACAGCGATTGGTGTTCCGCTGTGTCCTCCGGACAAAGAGGGCACTGGATCGTGGTGCCGTGCGCATCCAGGGAGCGTGCAGAGGCAGGGAATGTGGGAGGATGTTTGTAAACGGCCACCCGCTCCTGCACTGCTTCTGTCCAGCCATTTATGTACATGGGGCGGACAGGAAGTGATTTTAACATATAAATATATATATATTTAATGAAATATATTGAATATGGACAAAATTGTAGCATTTCAAATATATATCAATGTATTTGGAAAGAATTCTTTTAAAATATATTTCAAATATATTTTTCTTCCATATGGGAAGGTTTGAAGCCTATAGCATGGGCTCACCTAAATACTCAATAGGGATTTAGTTCTCAGTTTAGTCTTTCCTAATACAGTCTACCAGTGTGTAAATTTACTGATAAATGTAGCTCTAAAATGTTCAATGTTTGGCCAAACCCAAGGTGAAAACGATCAGCATATTCACCATATACATAAAAATGTCAGTTTATTTCTTTCACAATAAAAGCAGCTGAGCGATGTTCATTTTCACACTGTAATCTCTCCAGAGCAGGGCTCTCCTGAACCACTTGTATTGAATTCTTTTACAACTGTACTGTCTGACTTCCTTTTGTAAAGCAACAGGCAAACTGTTGGTGCTATAAATGATGTATAATAATAGCATGGCTCACAATGCATCACCTTTGTAATGGATATTTCTCAGCTGCTTTTATTGTGAATGGAATAAAGTGAGAATTCATTCATATGGTGGATATGATGATCGTCTCCACTCTTGTATTTATCAGTGTGATTTGATAGTATGAATAGCACACTCTTACTATTTCAATAGTCAGACAAGCTTTATTTTTCTTTCCTTCATTTGGGGCAGACCTACTAAATATGCCTGAATGGAAACAGCTCTAACTAGATTGCTATGAGCTGGGACTAGCACCAGGGGCGGACTGACAACTCATGGGGCCCCCGGGCAATAGTGGATCATGGGGCCCCTGTGTCCTTGCTCAAACTCAAAAAAAGCCTATGAAAAAGGTACCAGGGGCATCTCATGGGGCCCCCTACTGACCCCGGGCCCTCGGGCAGTGCCCGAGTTTCCAAATGGTCAGTCCGCCCCTGACTAGCACTCAAGGCAAAAACGTTCTTCATTGTCTTCTAAGTCTATTGTGCTGTCACTTGTGTTATAGAAAGTGGTCTATATGGGATGCCTTGATTTTATTGAAAGATAAAACGATCTATAAAACTGGAAAAATACTTTCTAGTAAAAAATGGAAGAGAAATACTTTCTAGAGGAAAGGATATAGATTTGAAAAAATGGGTGGCATTGTGTGTGGGCAGGTAAAAGGGAATAGATAACTAACTTGACCCACCCACTCTTATATGAACCACAAAGACATGGATTCTGCCCACCCATAGATCATTCCCATAGGTAGGTTCCAGCAAATTATGTCTTTGATCTATCATTAGGGAAGACATATTCAAAAGGCCATAAAGGTTTCATTAATCTGAATTAAATCTTGTTGATGTGATCAAGCAGGGTGAGATTGGGATCACAATCATTTTTCCTAATGAGATTGCGGCTGTAGCGCTACCCTCACAGGAGCTGCTTGTTTGTTGCCCCAGTTTCCCCTTGCTTTGGCCCGCAGCCAGGCAGTGTATTTCATCAGCAAAATACACAAACACTCTTCCACTCATTGTCTACAATGACCAGTCTAGAGGATGTTTGTTTTTGGAGTTTATTGTAGAACTGGGGATAGGGATGGGGAATTGTAGTAGGAGACCCCAAAATTAGAACTATTCACACTTTAGGACATCTAGCTGATCTCTTAATTAGGGTAATACTTATGAGCCACTTATTGTGAATTTTCAAGGTTTGCTGACATTAATCACATCCTCAATTAATGTGTATACAAGAATAAAATAAATAAATAAATAAATGTCGCGCTCCTAATTAATAATAATACGTGTAACAACTTATTATTATGTGAACAAACAGTAATAATATAAATGTGAAAAAAATATATATAATATATAATGTGCCGCTAAAATAAAATAAAGTCTCTGATGATGACTAGATATTGACTGTTCAGACAACAATGTGTGATCCAAAAAACAAACAAATAAACGTCTCTGGTGAAAAATAATAGGTGACTATTCCAATATTAACAATAAAGTGATCCACAAACGGTGATTTCCAGTGACTCCTTAATGTGATAAGGTTATGCGCTCACCTCCTTATAAGCCTATATAAAGGCTTATATCGCTTTTTGTTCACAATTGGAACTCTGTGTATTGTGTTGCACCGTGTAAACAGTGGTGGGTAGCCTTTAGGTGCTTGCCACTGCTCCTCAGCTCATAAGCCAATATCCCTCCAGGGATCTCTCACTCCCTCTGCCGCTGCTTATCTCCTCCTCCTCAGATTTTCCTTGGTATCATACCATAAGAAAGAAATAGGAACATAGTGCCTTATCCTTTGAGATTTATATTTTATTATGTGCCCAAACATATGCACTCACATTGTTAAAATATTAAAACAGCTTGATAAAATTATACTCTTTAGCTGTGTGCGGTGACCAGTGGCGTAACGCTATGACGTCACTCTAAACACCCGCGGACGGTGAGTATGCACTGTATGTGGCGCACACTTCTAAAAAGTATCATTTTATCAAGCTGTTTTAATATTTTAACAATGTGAGTGCATATTTATTTTATTTAAGCGGCACATTATATATTATATATTTTTTTTTTCAGTAGATAGCAGACTTCCCTTTGTCACATATAGCAGCAAGTAGTTTAGGAGTAAGCAAAGTCCCTTTAGCAGTAGTAGTAGTTACAAGGCTGCACTCCTCAGGTATAAGCCAGTTATGACAGACTGTGACAGCCCAAAGGTAACATAGCTAAGCAAAGTCCTTTGCAGTAGCAACACTTTGACAAGCTCTTCAGAACACTAGCCAGTGTTCCCTTTTTTTCTGGACCCACGCTGACTATCAAACCCCAGGGGAGATGGCAAGCACACAGCGTCCCCAAGTTTCTCAATGTCAGCACTCACAATGCCCAAGGATAGAATGGTTGCCTCCTTCCAATCTTCCAAGCAAAACCCTTCAGTGATACCAGACATAGCCTTGGCAGACAACTCCCCTCAGTCAGTTTCCTGCAAAACCAGGGTCACTCTCTCTAAACTTTAGGCCCTCAGTTTGACCCACCTGAGGCCACATGGCAACAAGTGCTAGGCGAGGCAGTCTGCATCGAGCTTGGCTGGTACAATCCTCTCCTGGGAAAGATACGGAACCCATGTGCTCTCAGAATATAAATACCACTCCCAGCATGCAATGGGACTGCCTTCCCCTGCAATTGGCCAAGGCTGCATCCATATTCATGCTGTTCCTTTGCCTAGCCCCTGCCGATGTTCTGGAAGGCTCTCATAGCTTCCTGAAGGTGGGCAGAACTCAGACAAACTCCAACAGCACCAGAGCATCATGGGCAGACCTAACTAATCAATCACAGCACTCTGTTAAGCAGAATACCACACTGAATTTACCTGAGAGTTTGTCTGGTAAGCAGAGAAACACAGCTACAGTTGCAAGAAAAAGTATGTGAACCCCTTGGGATTACGTGGAGTTTTGCATGAATTGGGCATAAAATGTGCTCTGAACGTCATCTAAGTCACAACAATAGAAGAACACAGTCTGCTGAACATAATACTACACAAACATTAGATGTTGCCATGGTTTAATTGCACATAACATGTAAACATTCACAGTGCAGGGAGGAAAAAGTATGTGAACCTTTGGACTTAATAACTGGTTGACCCTCCTTTGGCAGCAATAACCTCAACCAAACGTTTCCTGTAGTTGCAGATCAGACCTGCACAACGATCTGGAGTAATTTTGGACCACTCCTCTTCACAAAACTGTTTCAGTGTAGCAATATTCTTGGGATGTCTGGTGTGAATCGCACTCTTAAGGTCATGCCACAGCATTTCAATCGGGTTGAGGTCAGGACTCTGACTGGGCCACTCCAGAAGGCGTATTCTGTGCTGTTGCAGCCATTGGTTTGTTGAATTACTTGTATGCTTTGGGTCATTGTCCTGTTGCCTCACCCATCCTCTGCAGAGCTTCAGTTGGCGGACAGATGGTTGTACGTTTTCCTGCAAAATGTCTTGATAAACTCTGGAATTCATTTTCCCATCAATGACAACAATCCATCCAGGCCCTGAGGCAGCAAAGCAGCCCCAAAACCATGATGCTCCCTCCGCCATGTTTTACAATGGGGATGAGGTTTTGATGTTGGTGTGCTGGGCCTTTTTTTCTCCACACATAGTGTTGTGTGTTCTTCCCAAACAACTCAATCTTGGTTTCATCTGTCCACAGTATATTTTGCCAGTAGTGCTGTGGAACATCCAGGTGCTCTTTTGCAAACTTCAAACGTGCTGCAATCTTCTTTTTGGACAGCAATGGCTTCCTCCGTGGTGTCCTCCCATGTACTCCATTCTTGTTTCATGTTTTCCTGATTGTAGATGTGTCAACAAAAATGTTAGCATGTGCCAGAGATTTCTGTAGGTCTTTAGCTGACACTCTGGGATTCTTCTTTACCTCATGCAGCATTCTGCGCTGTGCTCTTGCAGTCATTTTTACAGGACGACCACGCCTAGGGAGAGTAGCAACAGTGCTAAACTTTCTCCATTTGTAGACAGTCTGTCTTACCGTGGATACATGAACATCAAGGCTTTTGGAGATACTTTTGTAACCCTTTCCAGCTTCATGCAAGTCAGCAATTCTTGATCGTAGGTCTTCTGATAGCTCTTTTCTGCGAGGCATGGTTCACATCAGACAGTGCTTCTTGAAACCAGTAAACCCAAAACAGGTGTGTGTTTTTTAAGGGCAGGACAGGTGTCAGCAACACATCCAATATCATCACACTGATTGGAGTCAAAGTTGGCTCACTCCTGGCTCCAATTAACTCTAGGAGAAGTCATTAAGCTAGGGCTTCACATACTTTTTCCTCCCTGCACTGTGAATGTTTACATGTTATGTGCAATTAAACCATGGCAACATCTAATATTTGTGTAGTATTATGTTCAGCAGACTATGTTCTTCTATTGTTGTGACTTAGATGCCGTTCAGAGCACATTTTATGCCCAATTCATGCAAAAACTCCACGTAATCCCAAGGGGTTCACATACTTTTTCTTGCAACTGTATGTTTAACCTAACTATACACATCCTAGCACCTAACTAGGAGGTGCCACATGGTTATAAACAGAGGTGATCTTGCAAATACCTAAAGAGGAATACTGTGCAATTGTCCCAATGATGTTACCAGAATTTTTTGGCTAATCATCTATCAGAATATCAGAGTCACTGTTGAGCTATCATCTGATCATTTGACCTCCATTCAATTTTTAGCAGCTCCAACTGATACTCATAGAGGTAGTGTTGATATTCCCAAATAATGTGCAGCATACAGTACTAGGTAGCTAGGCTTTGTTGTTTTTTTTAGATAGAGACTGGGTAGCAGCCTGGGATGAGTCAGCCTGGAAGTGAAGCAGGAGTTCACCTCGGTACAGGCTATGAGGCTCTACAGGTCAGGGCTTCTAGAGCCCTCCCACCCTTCCATAACTTTGGAGAAGGGGAGGAGGCCCAGATCTGCATGTTTGAGGGACCTTGGCTGATTCCCAGGCAGGAGGCCAGACATGGTGACCAAGGACAATCCTTAAATGTGACAGAGCCTGGGAAGCAGGAGTGCAGAGTCAGATGGAAGATGGACTGAGAGGAAGGCTGGAGAGTGTAGCCTGGGAGGGGGCCCCAGGGAAGTGAGCCTACCTACAGGCTGGTTGCTGGATGGAAGGATCTCCACTGTGCCACCGTCTCTTTGGGAGGACATCCTGAGTAACAGGGAAGGAGCCAGCCCAGCGAAAGGCCTCAAAGCAGCTACCTACTCACCACACTGGCAGGACAGGACAGTGTGAGTACTCCTACACCCCCTGGGCCAGATAAAGGGAGAGGGTGGTCAGGAGCAAGATCCAACTAGTTCTCATCCGGAACAACTTCATTGCTAGATTTTGGAATCCCTTGCTCAGGGATACCTTCAGTACAGCCAGGTGAAGAGAAAGGATTCATCTGGGATCTGAGGAGGTACACCAAGGGGGCTTAGAGCTCACTTAAAGAGACAGTGGTATTTTTGGATCCACGTTTTTGTACAGTATGGTTGCTAAAATGTTTGTCCTCAAGTTTTGCAGTTCCTTGGGCATCCCATATAACCCCTTATTAAAAACAACTAAAAACAAGCCCAAGGACTGTTTACTGACTACAAGTGAGCAAGTGTGGAAAAAGCGTGTTGCCTGGCTGTGCAGAGCTTAGGGGCACCCAAAGAACTCAGCGGCCCTCAAAAGGTTAGTGCTCCAAATGAAATGAAATTTGGGAGTACAGTCTGATCATACAACTCTTACGATTTACACAGTTTAAAGGCTTCGCAGTTAAAAGGGCCAGGTGATCTTTTGCATCACATTATAGAATGAATATTGGAGACTCTATCTGGTCATATTTTTATTTTGTTTTTTTTGCTTTCCTGTTGTGATTTAGTCTCAACTAAACAATGCACAAGAGTTTTGTATTCAATTTATTGTGTATTCACAATATCCTCTGTTTCTTGACAGGTGGTTCAGCAGGCAATTTAAAGCACTATTTAAAAAGGTAATTTTACTTGAAATGAAGAAAAACCATGCTATGTGTGTTTGTGTGCCTGTACATGATGCCACTGAATAGCGCCTGAAAGCACTTTGCCAACAAGCATGCACAACATGTAGAGGTTTTAAGATCTGGTAGAAATGCTGGATCACAAAAACAGTAGAACAGGCTGTATTGCAAATCCTCTGCTAGGTCAACAGTTCCCACATACCTTTTCACCTGTTTATCTAGCTGCTTGCTTTGCATTCAGACTTAATTTAATCTGCATAAAATGTATTGAGTTGACTACCATGGAGGGGTGTTTGTAAATGATATGGGTTTTTGAGGTTGAGACTGTGTACATTATTATGGCACTATAAAACTGGAAATAGTGAAAGTGCACTATTCAGAAAGGATATGGTTTTATATTTAATACACCCGAGTTAGAATTTGCTGCACCTAATGGACGTAACTGTTTATTGGGGACTAGAAGTAAGGAAAATGCTTAGGCAAAAAAAAATCTCATTCATTTAAACCAATTCAATTTCCTAAGAAGGATTTGGGTCCAGTATGTACATTTAAAGCCTTCATCCCATTAAGTTATGCAATTACTATAAGTAATAAATTGGCATCATGAGTGGAATGTAAACACACTCAGGGACCTTCACATACCTCATATAGCATCTTGAGCACACTATGGGTCCAAGACCTGGGGTGCTATAATGTGTAAATCTTGATTTTTGTAGAGTGAATAAAGTGCTACCCATTACCTTCCCAGAGGAATTTTGCAGGTCGTCACTTTTTCTCTAGAAAAAGAAGATGTGAATATTAGAACACTCTGGGCTTTGAGACTTCCAGGGCACTCAACAAGTGAAGTTACGCCAGGTACTTTTAATTATTGAAAGGTTTACTTTTAATAGGTACCCAAGGCAGCAATTAAAATCCATCTGTAAATTGCTAATGCAAGCCAGAAAACATTACAGCAATCCTTAACTTCAAATCTGAGTTTTAATCCTCCTCAATTAAACATTTATTACTGGCTTTTCATATGGTTTCCTCATGCTCCAACATGTGGCTGCTGTGCTTTTTGAATGTGTGAACCAGTAAACATACAGGCCTGTATTGCCATAGCTTGATTTTCAAACAAATTCAGGATAGAAGGATACAGACAGCTATAAGGATTTTGCTAGCTGGACAAAAGGCTGCACAGGAAGAATTATTGGATGAAAAATACACCCATACAGCAAGCTGTATCTGTATAAATGCAAATTATTTGTTTTAAAGCTGTTATCTAGGCAAACAACTGAATACACAATAAAACATAAACTATATATAGATAAACCATTTTAGAATTCAGTTCAGTTTGTCTGGTAATTCAGGCATCCCTGCCAGGCAGCTCAGCACGGTCTGTGCCCTCTGAAGATTGCACTGTAGTTAAAGTGGCATTATAGGTTCTGATTTTTTTTTTTAAAACATGTCATACTTACCTGCTCTGTGCAGTGGTTTTTCACAGAGCAGTCCCGATCCTCTTCTTCCCAGGTCCACCGCAGGTACTCCTGTAACCTCCCCCTTGACCAGTGCCCCCAATAGCCAGCTGCTTGCTATGGGGGCACTGATGTGTGCTTCCTTTTGACCCTGGCTTTATGTGTCCATAAGATACACAGAGCTACAGCTCAGCCCTGCCCCTGCTCTCTCCTCATTTGCTCACTGGCTGTGATTGACAGCAGTGGAAGCCAATGGCTCCCACTGCTGTCTCTGTCAATGAGGAGAGGGGACAGCCGAGGCTCTGATGCACATCGCTGAATCGAGAGGGGGCTCAAGTAAGTATTAGGGTGGGCTGTGGGGGAAGCAGCACACAGAAGGTTTTTGTACCTTCATGCATAGAATGCATGAAGGTAAACAAAACCTTCTGCCTTTACAGCCACCCACTTTGAGCATGTTCTAAAACATCTGTGATTTTTTTCCAGCTTTGGTTAGAGTAGTAGGGAAGGATTAGAACCCTGACTAAGTGGAAATTCCTTCCACTTTCTAGAGATTTCATCTCACTTTTTATTTCTCATGGCAGAAGTTTAAACTGTTTCCTACTCTATACAAAACTAGAAAAAAACGTTTAGGCTATACATAAACTTTAAGGGGCAGCACCACGCTGATGATCCCTGTGCTCTCCCAACCTGTAAGCATAGGAATCCTCATTGGTTAAGAGGGCTGCATCCTAGAATCCTAGTACTGTTAAGTATAGTGATTATGTTTTTCACTCCTGTCTTGCCCATAATCCCCACTGATCCATGGGTGCAGGGTGTGTGTAGTGAACACCCTGCACCCATGGATGATACGCCACTGCCTCTCACATTCCCACTGCCCACCAGCTCCATCACCAGCAGCGTGTACAAGGCAGTACCACTGCCTGGGACACTGACTCACTCTACATGAAGTCAACGGTGAGCTACTTCCAGTATCGGAGACTGCCTCCTCCTCCTCTCCCAACACTGTCACTGGACAGTGAGCCTCTCAAGGGCCCCCTACTGACCCTGGTTCCTCGGGCAATGCCCGAATGCCCAAATGCTCAGTCAGCCCCTGCCCACTGTCATACCCTCTGCACTTCTCTCATGCATATAGTTCCCCCTGTAATTATCTCTGCACCTTTTTCCGGCACATATTGCCTGCTGTCACAATCTCCTCCTGCAAATATTTTCCCCTGGTACACCTCTCTTGCACATACTGCCTGCTGTCAAACCTTCTGCATTCATCTCCTACACATGCATATAATGCCCGCTAGACACTTCTGTTTGTTACACCCACAACCTTTCCTATTCTGAAATTGACACACTTTTGCTACATATAATACATAGCAAAGGGTTTCCAGAGCACTATAGGTTATCTAAAGAGACAGCAAAGCAAAGCAGTTTGCTTTTTAACTTCCTTTGTCTAATAGAAACATTATCTGTCTGATATGGGAAGAGAAGGAAAAGTAAGATAGGAAGGAGATTTACCCATTCCTTATATCAGCCAAAGTTTATCTGCAAGTAATACAGTATATTATTACTATTGTACCCTTGTACAAATTATTAGTAAGACCTCATCTGGAATATGCAGGTCAATTTTGGACACCAATTCACAAAAAGAACATTGGGGAACTGCAGAAAGTACAAAGAAGGGCAACCAAACTGATAAGAGGCATGGAGGAGCTCAGCTATGAGGAAAGATTAGAGAAACTGGATTTATTCTCTCTTGAGAAGAGGAAATTAAGGAGGGATATGATCAACATGTATAAATACATCAGTGGTTCATTTAGTGAACTTGGTGTAGAGTTATGCACCCTGAGGTCATCACAGAGGACAAGGGGGCACTCTTTATGTCTGGAGGAAAAGAAATGTAATCACGGAAACATTTCTTCACAGTAAAAGCTGTGAACACGTGGAATAGACTCCCTCAAGAGTTGGTTCTGGCCAGCTCAGTGGATTGCTTTAAAAAAGGCCTGGATTCTTTCTTAGATACACAGAATATAACTGGATACTAATATTCATAAGTAAAGTTGATCCAGGGAATATCCGATTGCCTCTCAGAGGATCAAGAAGGAATTTTTTTTCCCCTGCAGGAGCAAATTGGATCATGCTTTGCTGGGTTTTTTTTTGCCTTCCTCTGGATCAACTGTGGCTGTAGGATTATAACTTTTTTTTTTTTTTTTTTTTTTTTTTTTTTTAATGGTTGAACTGGATGGACTTTTGTCTTTTTTCAGCCAGACTAACTATGTAACTATGTATACATTACATTTTCAAATATATGCCATTACATAAAGTTGCCATAAAATGTCAATAAATTCCTTAATATAAATACCATTTGAATTTTCAGCTTGTAATTCTCATTCCTATATCCTTCTAAAGCTTCCTCCGTATAAATGTATTTGTGTTATCAAACTCCCCCTTTTGGTGCCTAAAAATCTAAACTTACCCATAAAAGGGGGGAATGGACAAGGTGTGATAGATGTACTGATTTTACCCACCTAATACAGCCTTGATGTCTCATTATTTTCCAATGTATTTAATTGTATTAGTGTAAAGCAATATTAAACCCAAAAGCAAACATTTGTTATAGTGCAGTTTACCGATTCTTAGATGTGATGGCTACATTCATTTTATTTTTTAGGCTTTCTTTCTTCTATTTTCATCTCCAGTCGGAAAGTATGTTGTTTTTTTAAAAGAACAAGCTCTCCAGCAGAATGTATCAGTACGGGGATGTGACAAACCATTTAACACTGACAGGGATGCTTACAATGATCAGCTGTTATTTATTCATGTAAACCCTTTATCCTAAAAGGGCCAAAACTGTTTGCTGTAACTGATTATAAACTGTGAGCTGGAGTTTGGCTTCAATTTGTTAGTGTATTTAAATCTCCTACAACATTTAACACTCCCCTCCACCCAGAATGACAGTGCTGCCGTCTGCTGTGCCCCCTGTGCTCATTCATCCAGAATGAAGGAGCTCTAATACAGGAGGCATGTTACTTGCCAGATCACCAAATAAAAACAAAGGGAGAAAAGAAAACCAATGCAGCCACCGCATCTAAGGACTAGTAAGCTTCAATATATCACATTTTTGCTTTTGGTTTTAATACCATTTTAACTTTGTTTTCATTTTGCATTTCAGTTTGGCACGGAATCAAGAAATTGACAAACCCGTGGTTGTTTTCTACGGATTGATTGGCAATGATGTCTGCAATAAGTAAGTTTCATACAGAGAACATAACTGTCTATTCATGAAACTGTAAGGAAAAGGGATATAAGCAATCATACAGTCATTCACAAGGCTCGATTTGCTGTAATTTTAACAGTTACAAGTAGAGGAAATGAAAGAGTTCAAAAGCTTGAAGGATAAAGGCAAAGCCCTATAAATAACCTATACAAACCATGGAAGTAGCTGGTATGATTGACTAAGGTGAACTGAGCAGCATTGTACAATGAATACATAATCAAAAGGAACATTTAGAGCAGAAATCCTGCCAACTGATATGTCTCTTTTCCAAGCACTTCATGAGTATTTCAATTATCTATAATAGACACATCCTTATAGATAGGACAGCAGATAAAGAGGCCAACACTTCAAATATAAGACCACCATTCAAACAACTGGGCCTTACTGAGAGGGTCGATCACAGCAGACACCATGGACCTCAGTGTACGTATTATAATGATGTTATTACAAAATATAGCACCATTACGGCAGTGCTAGCAGAGGTTTAGGATGAGCAATCCTGCTGCCAGTGCATCAAATAGAACAACAATGGGCATGGAAAGCCTCCCCATAAGAGAAAAGTTAAAGTGTTGCTAAACCCCGGACCCTGCTTTCACTATATCTGGTCTCCCACAGCACACAGAACATGGAAGTGCAATTATTTTACTAAATATAAACTGCTAAATATCTTTTCTCATCAGCAATTAGAGCAGTCTTGTGACTTCTATCAGTGTCCAGCTGAGCACTGGTTAAAGCTTGTAGGAGGAGTTTTCTGCTGTAGGAGGATACAGATAACTTGACGTCTGTCTGGACAGTGCTGATTGACCCTGTGCTGATCACATGCACTCTCCCAAGAAAAAAGAAAAAAAAAAGACTCTCTAGCAATACACACCAAACTGAGCATGTGCATGCCTACGGTTCAGTCTGGAGATAAGTAGTCACTTGAAAAAGGGGAGGAACAGAGAAGCCAGGGTCAGACTTTTTACACAATGCAGAGGATTAACCCCATAGGCTCCACAGTAAGTATAACAAGCATGCTTTACTGCATATACAGACTAATTTTACGGTTGTGGGTTTAGTAACACTTTAACACTAGGTAAAATTATTATAACCCACACTTTTCAACATATTAACACCTTGGAAACAGTGAAAATTCCTGCAAGTTATATAATTATGTGACATCAGAGGTTAATTTACTTACCCTAGGTTCAAATCTGTGCGGGTGGTGTCACTGCGGATCCGCACGAAAATCTGTGCAGCCACATCACCTGCACAGAGAAATGCGAACCCGCGGGTGGGTGCCATTAGTTCTAATGGCATGCCGCCTGCACTGGAAAAAGCAACCGTACTGGGTACCGAGGTTCCTGTGCGGGCTGTGTTTTCCAAAGAAGTGCAGGGACTTCTTCCCTGCATGTCACGGGGCACGGGAGTCCATTCAAATGAATTGGCTCTTGTGCCCGTGCAAAACGCGGCCGCCTATATGTGAACCAGGTGTAAAACTGGAGAGTGCAAAATCTGGTGCAGCTGTGCATGGTAGCCAATCAGCTTCTAACCTTAGATGTTCAATTAAGCTTTGACAATAAGCCCTGGTTCACACGGGTGTGAATTCAGGTGCGACATGTGATTTATAAATCGCACCTAAAGTCGCATCTAATGTATTTCTATGGCACTGTCTTAACCACTTCCCAACCGGCCGTTGTATATAAACGGGCCCGGACGGTGGCACTGCAGGGTCGGGTGACTGTTTATAAACGGCCTCCCTGCAACTTGCTTGTGCGCGCTCCCCGGGAGCACGCAGCACCACGATCCGGTGCCCACTGTGTCCTCCGGACACAGTGAAACACCGATCGTCTGTACGAGGTCCCGATCATGTGATTGGCCAATCAGTGATCACATGCACTTCTGACATCATTGCTTACTACATGTGAAATCTGTGAATGATCACAGAGGTCACATGGTACAAGGCTATGCACAACAGCCTTGTACCATGTGACAAGCTGTGACCAATCACAGCTCACTCAGTAGTTCTCAATGGCTACAAGAATGCAGACAGAGAGAAAGAGAAATGATTTCTTTTACATCCTATATGGGTTTAAAAGCAATCAGTGTAAAAAAATATATAAAAAATCTTCATCACCCCCCAAAAGTAGTAAAGTGTCACCATGGTGATACTGTACTGCTAGGGTCACAGTATGTAAAAAATAAATAAATAAATAATAATATAAAAAAAAAAAACAAAATGTAAAAAAAAATGTTTAAAAATTATAATTTTTGGTTATAAACTAATTTGGCTTATTTATTTTTTTTTACTAAAAAGATAACAGAATAAATTTTGGCCAAGATTTATGATGAAATATTATTTACTTGCAAAATTTTATAAGAAAAACACTTTTTTTCAAAATTTTTGGACGTTTTCATTTACATAGCAAAAAAAATAAAAATCCCAGTGGTGAATAAATACCACCAAAATAAAGTTTTATCTGTCTCAAAAAAATGGTAAAAAATTCATATGGGTACAGTGTTGCATGACCGTGCAATTGTCATTCAAAGTGTGATAACGCTGAAAGCTGAAAATTGCCCTGGTCAGGAAAGGGATAAAAGTGTCCAGACTGGAAGTCGTTAATCAGTGCGATATGAAGTAGTGTGATTTCAAAAATAGTTCCTGCACTAGTTTTTTCAGATTTCATTGCAACTTGCATTGACTTCTGTTAAATGAGGTTGCACGCCACAGTGAAATCGGAGGCACAAATCATACTGATCTGCAGTTTTGAAATCGCGCTACTTCAAGTGAAGTAGCTCAATTTCAAAGTCGCATTCAGTGTGAACCAGGGCTTAAACCTGGAAGCTGATTGGTTTCTTAGCAGAGCTGCACCAGATTTTGCACTCTCCCGTTTTAGTAAATGAACCCCACTGACACAATAGTGACATACAGTATATAGCTTCTGCCAGTTATAGACCATGTGCAGCTCTCTGACCACCCAAGCTGTTTAGTGAACAGAAATATCATGAATCACATTCTACATAAACTTCACACCTGCATAAACTATGATCGCTTGGACATATCTGGTACCAAAGGTAATTTACAGTTTGGATAAACACCCCAGCCTTGTCATAATGGACAGACTCTAAAGGCAAAAACCATATCTGAATGGGGATTTGAGATCATACACAGAAATAGCTCAGATGTCACACTCCCAGTGGTGACAGTTCTCACCATTCACCGGTGTCAGAGGTCTAACCATTAACCAGTGTCTCTCACTGCTGACTATTATTATAAGGGATGCTGTATGCAACCATGGCATCTTCAGACTTATTTTGGAATCCCATGTTCTAATACAACTTTTTTTATAGTTTGATATTGGTACATCTTTTACTAACCATGTTGAGTCATGCTCTCACCAGGCACCCAATCACTAAACGCCTTTATTCTGCCTACAAAGTTTTGTACAAACATTATACCGAATAGTGAGAAAAAAACCATAAGAAGTGTAACAAATGCTGAACAGATAATTGGTGTACAGTAGATATAGTATTAAAGTGTTACTAAACACACAACAGTAAAGGCAGTCTGTATATGCAGTAAAGAAGGCTTGTTATACTCACCGTGGAACCTAATTGGTTAATCCTCCGCATTGTGTAAAAAGGATGCTTGATCCTGACTTCTCTGATCCCCCCCTTCTTCCAATGTCCCCCTCTTACCTCCTGATAAGACATACTGTGTGGAGACACTCTGCACATGCTCAGGTGTGTATTGCTAGAGAGTTAGTTTTTATTTCTTGGGAGAGTGCATGTTATCAGCACAGGGCCAATCAGCACTGTCCAGACAGAGGTCAGGGGTTCTGCATTCTGCTAGAGCAGAAAGAACACTCCTCCCACAAGCATTAACCAGCGCTCTGCTGAACACTGATAGAAGTCACAAGACTGAAAATTATAACTATAACTCAAGTGCTTACTATGATGAATACACAATATAAATGAATAAATAGGTAAATAGGTATAATATAAATGCTGTAGCTACTAGTGCACACAACTCATGTCTCAGTAGGCTAAATAGTGAAATAATACAAGTGAAAAAAAAGTGCTGAGCTACATATACAAAAATGCACAATTCCTACAAAATGTAACTAAAAACCAAAAACTCAAGAGAATGTGACTCAAAAAAATATACTGCTCAAAAAAAATATTTCTATCAACCAAAGTCCAATCAATTATGTGTTCTTCTGTGAACCCCCCTGCAGGGGCGGACAGACAACTCATGGGGCCCCCGGACAATAGGGGATCATGGGGCCCCTGTGTCCTTGCCCAAACTCAAAAAAGCCTATGATAAAGGTACCAGGGGCATCTCATGGGGCCCCCTACTGACCCCGGGCCCTCGGGCAGTGCCCGAGTTTCCAAATGGTCAGTCCGCCCCTGTCCCCCTGGAGATAACGACCACCGGGTAAACTGTCACAGGATTCCAATGCAAACTATCCTCCACCATAAATCTGCTCTCCTCCAGCGGTGTGACCTCACATTATACAATGTTTTGGTCTAACTGCACTTTTGGTCCCAAACATATGGACTCTGAAGATCAACTTGCTGAATAATATCTCCAAGAATGACCCCTCCAGATAACCGCCGTATAAACAAAAACTCAACATAGTGCTTTATCCTTTAAAAACTTTTATTGCACAATAAACCATAAGAAATGAACTCACATTCCGGAGGTGCATACCGCACCAGGTATGATGAACATCAAGTAATGTACTTCTTTAGGCACAAGATGACAGTATCATCCCCAGCAGCATAGACCAGTCCAGGCTCCAAAACGTCATCACACTTTGTATTGCAAGGCAAGGGCCCGTGTTTTGATCTTCAGAGTCCATACGTTTGGGACCAAAAGTGCAGTTAGACCAAAACATTGTATAATGTCAGGTCACACTGTTGGAGGTGAGCAGATTTATGGTGGAGGATAGTTTGGTCGTTATCTCCAGGGGGGTTCACAGAAGAACACATACTTGATTGGACTTTGGTTGATATATTTTTTTTGAGTAGTATATTTTTTTGAGTCACATTATCTCTGTTCTTTTGAGTTCGCTGTCCTGAGTTTTGGTTTTTAGTAATATTTTATAGGAATTGTGCATTTTTGTATATGTAGCACAGCACTTCTTTTCACTTACAGAAGTCACAGGACTGCTCAAACTGCTGATGAGAAAAGGTGTTTAGTAGTTTATATTTACTAAAATAATTGCATTTATAGGTAGTGTGTACTGTGGGAGACCAGATATAGTGAATGCAGGGTCCTGGGTTTAGTAATACTTTAAGATTCAGAAACTATAACACCTGTTTATAGTTCACAACACTACTCCCACTATATAAAACAGTCCTCAGTCAGAGTAGGAAACATCCTACTTCAGTGTGGATGTTCAATTTATGAGTCTGGTCTACATGCAGATGGCTAAAAAACTCTAGTGGTATTGTGGGATTGGTTTACCTTACTCTTACATTACAATGAACAGTGGTGTCATCTGTCAAAAAAACAGTTGGGGTCCAATCATCTCTTTGTGTATATCTCAACAGCTTTTCTTGAACTTCAGCAGGCCCAGAAGTATCAGTCGTTTCAACTGGGACCCATGTTGGCCTGGCCCTGTAACTTTTAGTATATGCAATCTTGAAAGACAATCTTAAACCAAACAGTGAGACCCAGTGATTTCCTATAATCCACTTTATCAACTCATAGAAGATAACTTGGATCCTGCACTAACTATTGCAAAACATCTTCATTAGTAATATCACTCCATTAAACACAGGCACAGAAAGTCAAATTTCTGACATTCGTATTGTGCACATTTTCTCAAAACTGTTGGACATGGCTTTAAGAAAGTGCCATGTGCATGAAAACATCATGAGGTTAGTTTACTAAAACTGGAGAGTGCTACATCTGGTGCAGCTGTGCATGGTAGCCAATGAGCTTCTAACTTCAGCTTGTTCAATGAAGCTTTGACAATAAAACCTGGAAGCGGATTGGCTTCTATAGAGAGCTGCACCAGATTTTGCCCTCTCCATCTTTAGTAAATCAACCCCCATATGTCTGAAAGTCAAATTTATTTCTGTAACTGTTTTTTCATGGAATGATAGTAAAGATGAATTGCACCCATGTCCACCCATTCCCAAATCATTTGTTCCCAATAAGGCAATTATCTTTTATTTGGGAAGAGCATAATCTCTAGCCCAGGAAATACTGTGTGGTCCTTTCTCCCCCGCCATTCCTCCACTGCACATACAGTGAAAGAAATAAGTATTTGATCCCCTGCTGATTTCTAATGTTTGCCCACTCACAAAGAAATGATCAGTCTAAAAATCGAATGGTAGGTGTATTCTAATACTGAGGGACAGAAGAGCAACAAAAAAACTCAAAAGAAATGCATGTCTAACAAATTATGCACTGATTTACTGAGGGAAATAAGTATTTGATCCCCTTCACAAAACATGACTTGGTACTTGGTGGCAAATCCCTTGCTGGCAATCACAGAGGTCAGACATTTCCTGTAGTTGGCCACCAGGTTTGCACACTTATCAGGAGGGATTTTGGCCTACTCCAAGAGGCAGATCCTCTCCAAGTCATTAAGGTTTGGCAACTCGAACTTTCAATTCCCTCCATTAAGGTCTGGAGACTGGCTAGGCCACTGCAGGACCTTAATGTGCTTCTTCTTGAGCCACTCCTTTGTTGCCTTGGCCGTGTGTTTTGGGTCATTGTCTTTCTGGAACACCCATCCACAACCCATTTTCAATGCCCTGGCTGAGGGAAGAAGGTGCTCACCCAAGATTTGACAGTACATTGCCCCGCCCATCGTCCCTTTGATATGGTGCAGTTGTCCTGTCCCCTTAGCAGAAAAACACCCCCAAAGCAAAATGTTTCCACAACCATATCTGACAGTTGGAATGGTGTTTTCTTGGGGTCATAGGCAGCATTCCTCCTCCTCCAAACACGGCGAGTTGAGATGATGCCAAAGAGCTTGATTTTGGTCTCATCTGACCACAAAACTTTCAACCAGTCCTCCTCTGCATCATTCAGATATTCAGTGGCAAACTTCAGACAGGCCTGGACATGTGCTTTCTTGAGCAGAGGGACCTTGCGGCACTGCAGGATTTCAATCCTTGTTGGCGTAGTGTGTTACCAATTGTTTTTTTGGTGACTGTGGTCCCAGCTGCCTCTGTCCCTCTGTTACAATACACCTACCATTCAATTTTTAGACTGATAATTGTGAGTGGGCAAACATTCAAAATCAGCAGGGGATCAAATACTTATTTATTTCACTGTACCATTCCACATCGCCATCTTCACCAGGACCTGGCTGTCTCCTTCGGGTTCTTGCTACTGGCCTCCTAATGACGAGGCTAAGTAAATAGGGAATAAAAACATTTGTAAAAATGCATTTGCTGTGGTGGAAAGTGTTATTATTGTGTCCACTTTACCAACATAGAAGTTTTGAAATGGTGAATGCAGAATTCAAGCTGCCCTTTGACAGTGGCTGGGGAAAAGAGTACTGAAGTGGGTACAGTAATAGTCCTTAGTGATTGGCAGTTCTTGAAGTAATGTGTGTACTGTTTGTGCTGTCTGCACTAATTTAATTATAATGAAGGCAGGCAGTTCTGACGCTACACTCATTACTGCAAGTGCTGCTTGACATAGAAGATTGCAGGGGAGGAGGAAAAATCGCATTTATTTGACTTTTTTTTTTTTTTTCAAAACAAAAGTTGCACAACAGCTAAAAACATATCTATTTTACTTGCATTCTAGTCATGCAGATACACTTAAATATATGACGACACCTGATGAGATGAAAGCTGATGTGATGGAGGATCTTCAATACCTAGATACCCATTTACCAAATGGAAGCCATGTAATTTTAATGTCACTAGCTGACGGACGATTCCTCTGGGACTCCTTACATGACAGATATCACCCCATTGGTAATTAACATTCATGACAATACTATTTCACCTTCAATATCTCGTAGATTGTAAGCTCGAAAGAGCAGGGCCCTTGAACCCCTTGTGTATTGTTTTGTTACTGTATTGTCTCATGTACTGTCCCCCACTATAATGTACAGCGCTGAGCAAACCTTTTGGCGCTATATAAATACTGTATAATAATAATAATTATATGTAGATTTATAAACTGAATATTTGTATTCATCATCAGCTTAAATTATCAAATGACTATCTACATTTCTTTTTGTTTTTTTTTTTAATGCAGGACAGTTTAAACAAGGATGTCACATATGCGCAATTCTATGATTTCCTGAGCTGTCTTTCGGTAAAAAAAATAATACATTTAAATGTATCAAGTGACAGGTAGTCACATACTGAAATAATATAAAAATATAAAGGTGGAGTATCTGGAAATAGATTGCGTTTTATCAAATTATCAAATGACTATCTACATTTCTTTTTGTTTTTTTTTTTTAATGGTAAAAAAAATAATACATTTCTATCTGAATGCATTTCTTGTATTTCATATAAGCCTCTAATGTTTCTTTTTGTGTTTCATTGTTTCAGCTATAAAATGTCAATTTTTCAGTTTTATTCAGTTGATTTGAAATGACTGTCTCTCTGGGGTTTATTTACTAAAGCTGGAGAGTCCAAAATCAGACTCCCTTCTGCATAGAAACCAATAAGCTTCCAGGTTTCATTGCCAAAGCTTCATTGAACAAGCTGAGGTTAGAAGCTGATTGGTTTCTATGCAGAAGGGAGTCTGATTTTGGACTCTCCAGCTTTAGTAAATAAACCCCTTTGTCACAACAACACTGTTCGGGAAGTTCTGGAAGTTTTGTAACTGAAAGATGTTTTCCATATATTTAACTGCTTGCCAAATGAAATTTGCGTCCTTTTGTTTCCCACAAATAGAGTTTGCTTTCTATGGTATTTGATCGCCTCTGCGTTTTTTATTTTTTGCACTATAAAAAAAAAATTCCAACAATTTTGAGGAAAAAACTATATTTTGACTTTTTGCTATTAAACATGTCCAGTAAAAAAATGTTAAAACTCAAATTACGTCATAAATGTACGTAAATGTAAAATGTATTCTGCTACATGTCTTTGCTAAAAAAAAAATCCCAATACGTGTAAATTAATTGGTTTACAGGAAATTTTCTTTTACAAATGGCGGTAGAGTTACTGGAATTTTTTTGTTTACTAATAATGGCGGCAATCAGCGACTTATTGCGGGACAGCGGCGGGCATTCTGACACTGGGGGGGAACTGACTTGGTGTCACTGACATGCCCAGTAACACCAATACAGTGATCAGTGCTAAAAAAAAAAAGCACTGACACTGTACTAATGGCACTGGGCAGGAAGGGGTTAACATGAGGGGCGGTCAAAGGGTTAACTGTGTGCTGGGAGTGTTTTAGTGGGTGATGGTGTGTAATCACCAGCCGACAGCCACGGCCGCGAATGGGTCTCCTACCCAGAAATGCAAAACCACGTATATATTTGCGCACCCCTTCCACCCTGTAGCAGTATATCTGCTATAGGGCGGCAGGGATGTGGTTAAAGTGGTTGTAAACATCTGACACAAAATATGAACAAACCATATCCCTCTATAGTGTGTACTTGTTTCAGTCCAGAGTACTAGGTGCCATTTCTGTCTGCTGCCTCATTCCTCTACTACTTGTACGAGTCACTTCTGATTTTCCTGACACCATGAGAAAAAAAGATGACAGGGGAGGGAGTTCCAGCACACAGTTTGTGATTGATGGCCTCATCTCTATTCCTGTGTGCTGTGTGAAGGAGATGTGTCCCTTCTGCCCAATGAGCTTTCACTGAGCTCTGCAGATTGTAACTTCAGCTCCCTGCCCCCTGCTTTCAGAAAGCTAAGACAAGCTGTGTAAATTCTGGATGACTGTAGAGAAGAGAGGGCTGCAGATAAACAGGTATACTTTATGTAAGAGGACTTGTGTATCACCTGAGGCTTGTCACTTCACTGGGTATATGTAAGAGCTTTTATATATATATATATATATATATATAAAGGTGCAGCGCTAAAATATGACAAAATATATTAAAATTCAGTACAGTAAAACTAACAAATGAATATGGCGCTTATTGAGGCGCACAAATGAGAAATAATATTGCACAGTCTAATGAGCAGAGATGTGTGGAAAGACGTGCAGGCTTGACTCGGGTAGGCCAGCAATACAAGTGGTTAAACTCCAACTTTATAGGTAATTTTCATAATGATAATCCTCGTAATGTGACTCCGTGCAGCAATGTATAAAATGCGCACTCACCAGATGCACATAGGTTATGCGTATTGAACCAATATAACTCTGCAGGGGCCCCTTTAAATGGAACAGCCAGCCAGCCTGGAGCAAGGATCCCTCATCTGGACACCAGCTTCAAATGCAGCCACGCTTCCTCTGGGGGTCTCCAAAAGCAGTTGGCTCAGAGCCAGGCAATATATGGAAAAGCCGTATAGTGTAGAATACAAATAAATGGTATAGGCCAGATAAGGTGATAGTGTAAACCTAGTCCTAAATATCCAAAGGATATCAAGTCACAAGCTGTGTTGGGTGAAATTATGTTTGAAGATACATATCCATACTATTCCATCAGTATGTCATTTCAACAAGTTTAGGATAATGATTTCAATTTTTAACCAAACCATCATTTGCTTTATGTTTAGATGAACCCTTGCGTAGGTTGGATGAACAAAAATGACACACTCCGAAATCTAACCACAGAGGTAATAATCAGTATAAATCAAGAAAGGCCTAAACCTACAAGCACTAGGAATTAAGAAGGTCATCACACGTGTGTGTGCTCACATGTCTGTATGTAGAACAAGAACCATACATGAAAGGCCTTACTAAATGCACTTGCCAATTGTGGCAAGATTAGGGTTAAAAATTCCTGGTTTTTCCAATTATTTGTCAATAAATGGACTTCTTAAGAAAATGCCAGTACCATTCACCTTTTGAAGTCCTCATGCACACTGTACGTTTTTACAGCGGATTGTTTTGGATTGTTTTTGGATTTTGACGATTTTTTCTACAGCTAGTAAACCCCCCAGCATTTTATCCTATGTGTCCGTGCACACATAGACTGTAATCAATATTTTTTGGCTGGAAAAAACCCCAGGACTAGTGGGTATTTTTAGCTGTAAAAACACTCTAACGCTGACAAACATGGCAAAACGTGGTAAAACACCATAAACCGGTGTTTTTGGACATTTTTTTTACCAATATAATTTTTTCGGGGGTAAAAAAAAATGCTAAAAAATGCAAACACGCAAAATCGTGGGAAAAAGCAGCAAAATGCCGGTAAACGTTAATGCAAAAACGCTAACAAAAGCTGAAAAACTCAAGTTTTTAACGTGACTTTACACAGATAACGTTACCAGTGTTATCAAAACGTCCCGTGTGCATGAGGACTAAAAAATCTAGACTTTCTTTATAATTAAAAGTTTTGTGTAAGGCCCCATGTACACGGGACTCTTCTGAATGATGGAAACTGCTGGAAAACGTAAGCTAAAAAAATGTCTGTTTAGCCGCGTTTGCATAGCACGTTTATGCGAGTTTGCGTTTAGAAGTGTTTTTTTAAAGATAACCTCAGTAGACCTTCCAAAATGCCCAGAATGCACTGAAAAACAGTAAAAAAATTAACTATTTCAGACATTTTGAGAGAAATAGAGAGAGCAGAAGCAGAGAGAGCAGTATTTGTTGAGATTAGCTGTCTTTTTTTTTTGTGGTGTTTGGATGTGTTCCAGCTCATTTCTGTGCAGAAATGATTGCAGCAGAGCCTAACATATTTTCTTTCATGCGAAACCTCAAAGTATGGTATACCAGGTCCATTTGAGTACCGGGAAAACGCTTTGCATGCATTTTTCATGATGAAAAAAGGCTCTGGACAGCATCTGGAAATGGAAGAGTTAAAAAAAATGTTCAAACGTAAACGCTTATAAACGTGGTTTACAAGCTTTTGGCGTTTGAAAACGTTATAAAATCTACTCCCTGAACACAAGTTTTCTGCGTTCAAAAAAAGACTGTAAACTCAACTGCCTGTAAACGATGTAATGTACATGGACACATAGGAAAACATTAGGGGGAGTTCAGGGGCTGCTGGAAAAAACGCTGAACAGCTCCTAAACGTGAGTTTATCAGCTGCAGTGTACATGAGCCCTTAGAATGTAGGTTAGGATAACACAAAATCTGCAAAGGGAGAGATTTACTAAGACTGATGCACTCAATATCTATGCAGCTATGCATGGTAGCCAATCAGCCGCTAACTTCAGATTGTTACGCTTTGACAATAATGCATGGAAGCTGATTGGTTTGTATACAGAACTGCACTTGGATTGGCACCAGGGGCGGACTGACCATTTGGGGTCAGTAGGGGACCCCATGAGATGCCCCTGGTACCTTTTTCATAGGCTTTTTGAGTTTGGGCAAGGACACAGGGGCCCCATGATCCCCTGTTGCCCAGGGGCCCCATGAGTTGTCAGTCCGCCCCTGATTGGCACTGTGCAGTTTTAGTAAATAACCCCCAAAGTGTCTTTAGTCTGTGATCATTGGCTCACTGAAATATCACCTGTTTTTTCACATTTGTAAGGGCTGTGGTGTGTTAAAAGGAACAGAGGAGTAAAATAGTTCTAAAAATGTATAAATAAGTAAGCGCCTTCTAGATAGCAGCAGCTGTACACCAAAGGCACCATATAATACCTTCTAATAGACAATAATATACAAAAAGGTGCAGCGCTAAAACACAAATAAACATATATATACACATACATAAGATTATACAAAGATATAAAGTGACACTGTGCACTCATATATAGATGCTATATCTATAGATTTAGATTTAGATATCTAGATTTGTGGCTGGTATAACGTGAAGAAAAATACTATATCCAAGAAGTCCAACGTGAAGGTGTGAGCAAGATCTCAACCGATCTACTGATTTCCAAACGACACAGACTGTGCACACGGTGAGACTATTAGGATACAGACTGCGCACTCACCAGATGCGCAACCTTTGTGCGCTTTTATATAATATAGGGACTTCAAATATCTCATCAGAGGTCTGGTCAGATCTGGTCAGGTCTCCTTCGCTATCCCACGCTTTGCACTCAGCCTTCTCATTAGGTCATGACCACTCTGTGGATGTAACTGGCTCCCACAGGAGCTCAGAAGAAACAGAGGAGGCCAGTAGTGCAGTATGTCTTAGGATGTTTATTCCCACTCAGATACTTATTAGGTACAAATATTTTTATTTTAAATATATTCTTCAGATTTTAACATATAAAAAAGTAATTTTAACATATATTTTTACATATACTTGTAAATGCATTGCAAAAATGTAGATTAGATGTATTTTTAAAGACATATATTTGAAACTGTATTTTAAAAATATTTTTCATATATTTTCCAATGTATAAAAAACGTATCTCAACATACAATATATATATATATATATATATATATATATATATATATATATATATATTATTTTTTTTGTTTGTTTATTTTGAAAAATAGTTTTCAAATATATTGATTACAGCCAAAATTGTAGTATTTCAAATATGTGTCAATATATTTGGGAAGAGTATTTTAAAAATATATTTAAAATATTGTATGCCCCTTGAGGGTTAGGGAGTGTACAATATATATGTAAAGCGCTGCGTAGATTGACGGCGCTATATAAGCACCTATAATAAATAAAAAAATAAATAAATAAAATGTATAATATTTTTTCTTCCACGTGGGATGCTTTACAGGCTCCTAGAACAAAACATAATAAATGCACATTTTTTTACCTCCAAAAAAATGCTCCTTTATTATTTTTTTGTTGAAAGGTGAACTTATCCTTTAAATTTAGGTCAACATAATGGTCTCTTGGTTGATTCCCATAAGATAAAACTTTTTTTCTTTAAAAGCAAGGTTTGAGAACTGTTGTGCTGAAAATCCCAATCATTTGGTGTGGTGTCTTTTTGTTGGACAGTAGTATAGGTTGTTAGAAAAAAAAATGTTGATATTACAAGCAGTAGAATCCATTTGTTGTCCTTTGCCCTAGTTTGTCCAGATTAAAAAGCATGACATAATACTGAGGTTAAAAGATGAAAGGAAGAATTAATAATGTAGTAATTATATAGTCTTCTATATGTGATTGTTGAGTACAGTACATCTGCTGTGTATCTTATGTGTGATAATATTTGTTTTATCATTTTCTCCTGTAGAGAGCTGAACAGCTTTCCAAAGTCCTTCAAGACATAACAGCTTCTGAGACGTTTACACATTTTAAGCTTAATTACTACGAAAATTTATATAAGAAAGGTAAAACATCCAGTTACTTTAGTATAACTTTAATTACACTTTACAAACCTGCATTTCTGGAAATGCCTAAGGCCATTTTAGAGAATATTTTAATGGGTATGGAAAAGTGTTCCAGCTTCAGAATTCAATGAATGCAAACATGAAAGAATAGAACAAAAATATTGCTGTTTCACACAGAAGCCAATGGTGTTCAAAAACAAGGCAAGCACTCATTGCATTTGTTAGGTACACAGTTAACCCCTTGATTGCCCCTTATCATTAACCATTTCCCAGCCAATGTCATTAGTACAGTGACAGTGTACAGTATTATATCTAATCACTGTATTAGTATCACTATTGATATCAGTGTTAGTTAACTTACCTCCCACTGAGTGTTTGTTAGCGCCAGATTGCCTGCCACACTATCACAGTTCCACTATATGTCACTGGCAGGGGCGGACTGACCATTTGGAAACTCGGGTGCTGCCCGAGGGCCCGGGGTCAGTAGGGGGCCCCAAGAGATGCCCCTGGTACCTTTTTCATAGGCTTTTTTGAGTTTGGGCAAGGACACAGGGGCCCCATGATCCCCTATTGCCCCGGGGACCCCATGAGTTGTCAGTCCGCCCCGGTCACTAGTAATCGCCATTACCAGTATAGCGTCATAGCTGCATATATTTAAAAATATATTTTTGATATATTGAATATATTTTTGATATATTGACATATATATTGATTGTAGACACTATAACGTTCATGTAGACCAATTAATATACACTTATTGGGATTTGTTTTTACCAAAGACGTGTAGCAAAATACAGTGTGAAACCAAGTTTATGAAGAAATTGGATTTTTTTTTTTATTTTATTGGATATGTTTTAGAAAAGAAAGTAGAAAATTTAGTTTTTTTCAGAATGTCCAGTCTTTTTCTTTTACATAATAAAAAATTTAAAAAAATCCAGTGGTGATCAAATACCACCAAAAGAAAGCTCCATTTGTATTAAAAAAAAAAATAATTATAAATTTAATTTGGATACAGTGTTGCATGACTGAGCAATTGGCAAATAAATTAGCATAGTGCTGAATAGCAAAAAAAAATACCCAGGTCATGAAGGGAGTAAAACCTTCTGGAGGTCAAGTGGTTTAAAAGCAAGCATTTGTCAGTCTGTACAGTAAATTTAAAAATTAGCCATGAATATGAAGCAGATAGCTTGCTCCTTACAATAGCTCATTCTAGTATTAGCTTTTGTAAAAAAAAAACCCCCAAAAAATGACTCAAGGGACTTATATAAAAGGATGTGATCCTTTGGGAACGCATAGGGCAGTTTGATGTCTAAATCTTTCTATAAAATAGTGCCTATCCATTCAGTCTGTTCCCTGGCCGCAGACACAGCTTTGTTCATTTTATGATGGTGATAAGTTGGACCACCTTATCACCATCATCATAAAATGAACAAAGCAAGATGCAGTAATCTTCCTTTAATGATATATCTCCTTTTTTTCTCATATTCATTTTATTCAGGACTTACACATCAGCGTGTTTTTATTTTAATGCTTTGCGTTTTAATAAAATGCACAGCTTTTATCCCCGGGGCAGACAGATATATTAGTCTGTTATGTCCTTTGGATACAACTTGCCAGGGCAGCGATTTACAAATATTTCCAAGAGACGCCATAATATTTCATTCCACCCACACAATGTCCCCACGCCATAACACATAACTATTTTTGTAAAAGAGAAATTTCCTTTATTTTTTCCAGCCTCTAAGGTTATTACATTTGCATTAAATGCTACAGCTATATAAACTGAAGATGACTGTATGCAAAAGAGAAAGGAAAAGAAGAAATAAGCATCAGTGTAAATGCTTTTTTCCCATGCTCTGCTCCTTCATCCTGTTGCCTATAATTGTGTGCATCCTGCCTGAATTAATGACACAGAACTGGAAATTAAATATTTCATAGTTGTAGAATGTATTCCTGTCTTCTTCTATCACTGAGAAGCGCATTGCACATTGTTTTACCATCATTTACAGTCATTTATGCTTGCTGGGTTTCCGCGCACAAATACCTTTAATCAAGATAATGTCTTGCAGTTTTTGCCTCAGAAATGGATCTTATTTCCTATAAAGCAACATAATGCTTTTGCATGACATTATGCCAGTTGTATATTAAAATAAAACAGCGTCTGCAGATTTTAAGGGCATAAATGCAATAAGATTCTAAATGTTGGCGCAACCAATATCCTAAAGTAGATTCAAAACTCATATAAGCTGTAATATGTTTAAAGATTCTTAAAAACATTTTATTAATTTAAATAATCTGCATCTGTCATTAAAATAAGAACTAGAGATCCTGCCATGAATGTCCTTGCCCAGGCGCTTCCAGTTATGAGGCGGTAACTGTCTCCCAATTGTGTTCCAGTATTGTTACCTTGTCTCATACACCAGTGAAGAAGAATACATGCAGCTGTGCCAACACATATGCACAGCCCCATGTATAGGTAGATAGATGGATGGATAGATGGATAGATGAGTAGAAGGATGGATGAATAGAGGAATAGATGGATAGACGGATAGATGAATAGATGGAGAGATGGACAGATGGATAGATGAATAGATGGATAGATGAATAGATGGATAGATGAATAGATGGATAGGTGAATAGATGATAGATGAATAGATGGAACATAGATGGATAGATGAATAGATAAATATATGAAAGATGGATAGGTGAACAGATGAATAAATGGATAGATGGACAGATGAATAGATAATAGATGGATGGATGAATAGAGGAATACATAGGAATAGATGGATAGATGATATGAATAGATGATAGATAATAGATGGAATAGATGGATAGATGAATAGATGGATAGATGAATAGATGAGATGGATGAAATAGAGGAGATGGATAGATGAATATGATAATAGATGAATAGATGGATAGATGAATAGATGGATAGATGATAGATGGATAGATGGAGAGATGAGATAGATGGATAGATGATGATAGATGGATAGAATGATGGATGGATGAATAGATGAATAGATGGATAGATGAATAGATGGATAGATGATAGATGGATAATGATGAATAGATGGATAGATGGATGGATGATAGAGGAATAGATGGATATGATGAATAGATGGATGGATGAATAGAGGATAGATGGAATAGATGGATAGATGAATAGATGGATGGATGAATAGAGGAATAGATGGATAGATGAATAGATGGATATGATGAATAGATGGATGGATGAATAGAGGATGATGATAGATGAATAGATGGATAGATGGATAGATGAATAGATGGATGGATGAATAGAGAATAGATGGATAGATGAATAGATGGATATGAATGGATAATAGATGGATAGATGAATAGATGGATAGATGAATAGATGGATGGATGAATAGAGGAATAGATGGATAGATGAATAGATGGATAGATGGATAGATGAATAGATGGATAGATGGATAGATGAATAGATGGATAGATTAATAGATGGATGGATGAATAGAGGAATAGATGGATAGATGAATAGATGGATAGATGAATAGATGGATAGATGAATGATGAATAGATGAATAGATGGATAGATGAAATAGATAAATAGATGGATGGATGAATACAGGATATAGATGGATAGATGAATAGATGGATAGATGAATAGATGGATAGATGAATAGAGGAATAGATGGATAGATGAATAGAGGAATAGATGGATAGATGAATAGATGGATAGATGGATAGGTGAACAGATGAATAAATGGATAGATGGACAGATGAATAAATGGATAGATGGACAGATGAATAGATAAATAGATGAATAGATGGATGGATGAATAGATGATGATAGATGGATAGATGGATAGATGATAGATGGATAGATGGATAGATAACTAGATGGATGGATGAATAGAGGAATAGATGGATAGATGAATAGATGGATAGATGGAATAGATGGATAGATGGATAGAGGAATAGATGGATGGATAGATGAATAGATGGATGGATGAATAGAGGAATAGATGGATAGATGAATAGATGGATAGATGAATAGATGGATGGAATGAATAGAGGATGATAGATGGATAGATGAATAGATGGATAGATGGATAGATGGATAGATGAGATGGGATGGATGAATAGATGAATAGATGGATGGATGGATGGATGATGGATAAAGGAATAGATGGATAGATGAATAGATGGATAGATGAATGGATGAATAGAGGAATAGATGGATAGATAAATAGATGAATAGATGGATGGATGGATATGAATACAGGAATAGATGGATAGCTGAATAGATGGATGGATGAATAGAGGAATAGATGGATAGATGAATAGAGGAATAGATGGATAGATGAATAGAGGAATAGATGGATAGATGGATAGGTGAACAGATGAATAAAATGGATAGATGGAGAAGATGAATAAATGGATAGATGGACAGATGAATAGAAAAATAGATGAATAGATGGATGGATGAATAGAGGAATAGATGAATAGAGGAATAGATGGATAGATGAATAGATGGATAGATAAATAGATGGATGGATGAATGATGGATAGATGGATAGATGAATAGATGGATAGATGAATAGATGGATGGATGGATAGAGGAAAAGATGAATAGAGGAATAGATGGATAGATGAATAGATGGATAGATAAATAGATGGATGGATGAATAGATGGATAGATGGATAGATGAATAGATGGATAGATGAATAGATGGATGATGGATAGAGGAATAGATGGATGGATGATGGATAGAGGAATAGAATAGATGGATAGATGAATAGATGAATAGAGGATAGATGGATGGATGAATAGAGGAATAGATGGATAGATGAATAGATAGACAGATGGATAGATGAATAGAGGAATAGATGGATAGATGAATAGAGGAATAGATGGATGGATGAATAGAGGAATAGATGGATAGATGGATAGATGGATAGATGAATAGACAGACAGATAGATGGACAGATAGACGGGTAGACGAGTACACGGATAGACGGATGAACAGATGGACAGATTGGATAGATGAACAGACGGACAGATGGATAGATGGATGGATAGATGGACGGATAGACGGGTAGCTAAGTAGACGGAAGGACGGATGGACAAATTGGATAGATGGACAGATGGACAAATTGGATAGATAGACAGACAAATTGGATAGATGTACAGATTGACAGACGGACAAATTGGATAGATGGACAGACGGACAGACAGACAAATTGGATAGATGTACAGATGGACAGACGGACAAATTGGATAGATTGATAGAAGATGGATAAATGGACAGATGGATAGTTGGACAGATAGATAGAATGTTGGGTGCCACGTCTAAGGGCTCATATTGCCGCACCTTTTGACATGAGCCATAAAGACCCAATTCCATTGTCCAGGTGTTTATTATGTAGGCTTAAAGTGTTACTAAACCCAGGACCCTGCATGCACTCTATCTGGTCTCCCACAGTACACACTACATGGAAAAAGCAATTATTTTTGTAAACATAAACTGCTAAATACCTTTTCTCATCAGCAATTAGAGCAGTCTTGTGACTTCTATCAGTGTCCAGCTGAGCACTGGTTAAAACTTGTAGGAGGAGTTTTCTTTCTGCTCTAGGAGGATGCAGAACCCCTGACCTCTGTTTGGACAGTGCTGATTGGCCCTGTGTTGATCACATACACTCTCCCAAGAAAAAGAAAAAACCTCTCTAGCAATACACACCAAACTGAGCATGTCTAGAGTGTCTCCACACAAGATGTCTTATCAGGAGATAAGAGGGGGGCACTGGAAGAAGGGGAGGATCAGAGAGGACAGGATCAAACACCATTTTTACACAAAGCAGAGGATTACCCACTTAGGTTCGACAGTGAGTATAACAAGCATGCTTTACTGCATATACAGACTGATTTTACTCTTGTGGGTTTAGTAACACTTTAACTCGAAAATGTGCAAACATGATGGAACACGCTCTCTGCCTTTCTTCCACTTTGTGGAAACAATAGACAGAAAATTATTCTAAAAAAAAATAAATTGTATGCAGAACTCAAGATGGATGTTTATTACATTCCATTAATAACATTTATCACATAAATCTGATTTTTTTTTCTTTTAGTGATTGCAAAATGGGAAAGTTTTGGAGGAAAGCCATGGGATCTGCTGGAGCCAGTGGATGGATTTCATCCTAATCAGGTACGGAAATCTTGACACATCTACTTCTTTGTGCACTTAGAAGGGGTCCTACACGAAGACTGCCTCTTCAGCTTTGTCTCATGGGGAATGATTCAACTAGTCAGAGGGATTTCTTGAACAAGGGATGCTCATTGGTATTATTTGGAAAAATACAAAAACATGATAAGACCAAGATAGAGGTTTTGATTGTTTAAAATGCCAAAGCAACTAAAACATAATTTAAAATAAAACTGCAGTAAAGGTACAGTTATCATTTAGCAACTGGTTATGACATCTTCATAGGAGCATTTCTTTTGTTGCCAGGAGTGTCTCAGAGAAGACCACATGTCATATTTATAGATGAATTTAGTGGAGATTTCTACGTTCATGTGGTTTATAGTCAACTTTACAGTTAAAATATATAAAGCCCTAAATTAGACTGTACTTATGTATAATCCACTATACAATAATTTAATATGGTAATATTAATAAATAACAATGCATAAATTAACCACTTCCAAATCCGTCCCATGTATATAAACGGCCAGATGGGAGCATTGCAGGAGCTGGTGGCCATTTATAAACGTCCTCCCCCTTCCCTGCCTGTGCATGCTCCCTAGGAGCGCTCGACACCGCGATCCGGTGCCCGCTGTGTCCTGAGGACACAGCAGAACACCAATCGCTGTACGAGACCTCTGTGTGAGGTCCCGATCATGTGATCACTGATTGGCCAATCAGTGATCACATGAATAGTAGTAAGCAAGCTGTCACTTCTGACATCATTGCTTACTACATGTGAAATCTGTGAATGATCAGAGAGGTCACATGGTACAAGGCTGTTGTACACAACAGCCTTATACCATGTGACAAGCTGTGACCAATCACAACTTACACAGTATTTCTCAATGGCTGCAAGAATGCAGCCAGAGAGAAGGAGAAATGATTGCTTTTACAGCCTTTATGGGTGTAAAAGCAATCAGTGTAAAATCTTTATCACCCCCCACAAGTAGTACAGTGTCACTATGGTGACACTGTACTGCTAGGGTGACCGTATGTAAAAAAAAAAACAAATAATAATATAAAAAAAAATTTTTAAAAAAAATGTCAAACATTTTTTGAAAAATTATCATTTTTGGTTATAAACTAATTTGGGTTATTTCTTTTTTTTACTAAAAAAGATAGATGAATACATTTTGGCCAAGATTTATGAAGAAAGATTATTTATTTGCAAAATTTTATAAGAAAAACACTTTTTATTTTCATTTGTATAGCAAAAAAATAAAAATCCCAGTGGTGAATAAATACCACCAAAATAAAGTTTTATCTGTCTCAAAAAAATGCAAAAAAATTAATATGGGTACAGTGTTGCATAACGCAATTGTCATTCAAAGTGTGATTGCATAGAAAGCTGAAAATTGGCCTCGACAGGAAGGGAGTGAAAGTGTCCGGACTTGAAGTGGTTAAAAAATGGTATCAACTGACTTTAATTTGTATTGTTCAAACCTGCAGAGTAGTCAGTTGTTTTTGTTTACTTTTAAGAAGAACTTAATCAATATTAGTTTATGCTGCAATTTGTCACTCTGTTACTTTTCTATTGATGATTTTTGACTCTTGTGTGCAGTTTCAGCTTTGTTTCTATTCATCTTTTTTGTTGTTTGTTTTTTGCAATAAATGGCAGAATGTGGTTGCTTGACTTCCTAAATTCCCAAACTGTTGTACAGTGTTAGAATTAAAATTGCCAAAAAATGAACTGGATACTGTGTTCTGGCTCACCCAACAGAATTCTAAGTAACTATCCAGAAATATGAAACACCTTAAAAAAGTATCAATCCATATACAGTATGGCTTTCAGTAGAAACTTCTGAGTTGCAAAGGAGGTTGAGAATTGTGATAGTACAATTCTCATTAATGTTCAAAGAAATGCCTAACTTTTTTCCTAACAATAGTGATAGTTCCCATTTCAGCTGAATAGGATAGGGCCAGAAAATATAGAGTTTTTCTATCTGATCCATAATTAGACCAAAAACTTCTCTTCCTAGTCCAGCTTTCAGAAAACGTATCTACACCTAATGATACATTTGAAACAAATGGAATCTGGAATGGTCCTGGAATCATTTACAATGAATTAAATACAGTATATATATATGTTTTTGTTCTATAGAAAGCCTCTGCAGTTGGAGCAGATCTGCTCTGGGAAGAAGCAATGCAAAGATGGCCTGGACTTTTTGGAAAAGAGAATCCTTTTAACAAAGAAATAATAGCAAGATTTGGAGACCAAGGTGGACACTAATGAAGATTTAGCGACCAAGGTGGACACTGATGAAGATTTGGCATGTGCAATAATCCTTACTTCTGAAAACTCAACTGTTTGACTCTAGTGTTTGCTAAACATTTGTCCCACTCTTTGTGTAGGTGGTTGGCAAGTGGACCTTTGAGATATCCCCGCTATGTTCTTGATCAATCCATGGAAGGAAAACTAGGTGTAAGGGGGCTAGGTACTTTTCAATAGATACCAAGATTTGCAAAGAGTTGTGTTGCCAGTCAACTAGGCTTGTGAGTTTTTTTCCCCAGTATTTGAAGTTTTACTATGAGATTAATTTGATATGTGGCACACTGGTTATTTAAGCAGCATTTCTTTTATACACATGTGGTGGATTTTGTGATTGGGCAAGCATGTTGTATAACACGCTACCATCTTTCTGGTTGCAAAGATAACATTTTACCTTTCGGTTTTTTTTTTGTCACTCTCTGAAGGGCGGTCACTTGCAGTACTGTGAGCTAAATGAAGGAACCCTGTGAAATAATTTTCTTGTATTAATCTTTATTCTACATTACAGTCATTGGTCTGTGACCAACTGTCATGGATAGGAATGGTCAAAGACAAGCAGACCTCTTGTCACTATCAGTGTTAATAGACGGATCTTCCCAATTCATTTCATTCGGCACATGCCTAGACACCCTTATGAGTTTTTAATTGATTTAGGTGATGTTAGATCTTTGCGGAAGAAATGAGAACCAATCCCGCAGTTATCAGATTTCGCAGAAAACTTTTGCTAGTGATGAGTGATTATGGTGCCTATAGGATAACAAGTACATGAGTGAGAGATGTTTTGACCTGCCCCTCAGTATAAAAAAATTTATGTAGCAAAAAAAAAAAAAAACAGGCCCACACTAAGAAATATGGCTGTAATAGAGAATGCTAGCGCTTGCACAGAGATGGAAAAACAGCAGGATAACTCTGTGAAACTGAAAACAATCCTAGATCTTGTTTTTTTTATTTACTTTAATAAAGTTGTATGAATTGTATTAAACAGACTGCCTTTGTATACTAGGTCATCTGTAATTTTGCACATTTTTGTGTCATCTGGTTTATGTAGAATGCAATAGTTTTTTTTTATAAATCTTTATGACTCATATTTTTCATGTGTTTTCATCTAAACTAGTTTTACTGTAGCCACAATTTGAATTTTATGAAGAAGTTGCTGGAGATTAAATATTCATTTAAAGCAAACTGTTTACTTGAAATGACATTGATAGCATTTATTAATTTCTGCAAAGCTCCTATTGGTAACTGATTCTCCAATGAGTATCCAAAACAGCCCCAAAAAACTGGATTATTTTGTTACTCACCATAAGATCCCTTTCTCTTTGGCGCTATATAAACCCTAATGGTCGTTCATTGACAGGATCACAGGCACAGCCTCTTCTTATTCTCGATCATAGGTGGCGCTATAAACCCTATGGTCGAGAATAAGAGGCTGTGTCTGTCAATGAACAAAACAGAACACGGGATTTTTTTGTTACTCACCATAAGATCCATTTCTCTTTCGTTCATTGACGGGTTTCGTTGTGTCTGTCATTTTTTTTGTTACTCACCATAAGACCATTTCTCTTTCGTTCATTGACGGCCTCTTCTTATTCTTGATCATAGGTGGCGCTACCCTATGCCTCTTCAATGAACAAAAGCGAAAACAGGATTACTTCTCGATCGGGCACAGCCTCTTCTTTATTCTTGATCAGGTGGCGCTATAAACCCTATGGTCAAGAATAAGAGGCTGTGTCTGTCAATGAACAAAAGCGAAAACAGGATTTTTTTGTTACTCACCATAAAATCCATTTCTCTTTCGTTCATTGACGGGCACAGCCTCTTCTTATTCTTGATCATAGGTGGCGCTATAAACCCTATGGTCGAGAATAAGAGGCGGTGCCTGTCAATGAACAAAAAAGAAAATGGGATTTTTTGTTACTTACCAGGAAATCCCTTTTTCTGAGTTCATTGATGGACACAGCCTCTTATTATTCTCGAACAAAGTTTTTATATCACCACATATATTTGAGAATAAAAAGAGACCATCAATGGACAGAGATTGTATTCATCTACCTAATGAATCAGGAAGTAGAGTTTAAATGCATGACCTGGGCAAACTACTTCAATTTTCTCTAGAGAAGTTAAAGTGGTTGTAAACCTCAGACATGAAATTTGAACAAAGCACATCACTTTGTAGTGGGTACTTGTCTCAATTAAGAGTAATAAGTGTCATTTCTGTCAGCTGCTTTGTTCCTCTACCATCAGCATGAATCACACGTTTTCCTGTCACTAAGAGAAAAAGGCGATGGGGAGGGAGCTCCAGCACACAGGCTGTGGTTGATAGCCTCAGCTCTGTTCCTGTGTGCTATGTAAAGGGAGGATGTTCCTTCCCTCCAATCAGCTCTCAGAGCTCTCCTCAGTGTGCTCTGTGGTGTGTAATTTCAGCTCTCCACCACCTGTTTTCTGAAAGCTCAGACAAGCTTTAAAAATCCTGTACTTTGAATGGGTGTAGAGAAGAGAAGACTGCAGATAAACAGGTAAAACATATGCAGGAGGATTTGTTTCATCTCTGTGTATCACCTGAGGCCACTTCACTGGGTATATGTAAGGGTTTACAAGCACTTTAAATTACAGGAGCAACAACATTATAGAGAAGAAATGACCTTGTAATTTTCATGGAGTATTCCTGCAATGTCAGTTCCCAGTAAGAGTAATTCCTCATCAGAGCCAGATCACAGCAGAACACAGTGCAGGAAACTCACCTTCCGTGCGCATTTCCTGCAACATCTTCAAAACGCACTGCATTTGCGATCTGCAGCGGGTGTCAGTGTTAACTTAAAACCACTCCACCTGCAGGTTGTAGACACAGTGGGGTTTATTTACTAAAGCTGGAGAGTCCAAAATCAGACTCCCTTCTGCATAGAAACCAATCAGCTTCTAACCTCAGCTTGTTCAATGAAGCTTTGGCAATGAAACCTGGAAGCTGATTGGTTTCTATGCAGAAGGGAGTCTGATTTTGGACTCTCCAGCTTTAGTACATAAACCCCAGTGTGTTTGCCTGCACCAGATCGCATGGTATAGTAGTACCATGTGACATGGTTGTTGTACATTTTTTTTTAAAGTAGTGCATGTACTACTTTTGGTGTGAAATTGCACTACACCCGGATTGCGTGTTTTTGTGCGATTCATGGTGTGAGCTGGCCCTTACATTTTAAACTCTATGGATGCTCATTTTGGAGATGTAACAGAAGATTTCAAGGATTAACCAACTCTATAATGCTTCTAGCAAAGGTCTGGAAGCTGCTAAATCAAATATTTCACCAGAAACCCAATGATGTCCTGGTCACATAAATCCTAGGTTGTGCTCATCATGTCACCCATATCCAGGTTTGATACACCTGCTTCACCCTGATGACAGGGCTACTAAGTTTTTATTATATACACAGGGGGGTTTATTTACTAAAGCTGGAGAGTCCAAAATCAGACTCCCTTCTGCATAGAAACCAATCAGCTTCTAACCTCAGCTTGTTCAATGAAGCTTTGGCAATGAAACCTGGAAGCTGATTGGTTTCTATGCAGAAGGGAGTCTGATTTTGGACTCTCCAGCTTTAGTAAATAAACCCCATGGTGTCTATGGTGGGAGTGAAGCAAAGTATTATAGCATCACAAAGTAGGGCTAACCTGATTTGTAAACTTTAAGCAACTCTGTCACTTAAATTAATTTCTAAAATAAGTCACTGGTCACACCGCTGCGATTTAAAAATCACGCAATTTGTGTGTAATTTAAGCACGATTTCAGGTGCAATTTCTGAAGACTTTATTGCTACTTTATTGCTACTTTCAACAATTTCTTCCAATTTGCAGTGCGATTTACATTATATGTATGTGAAATCACAACAAAACTGCAGAAAAAGTAATGCAAGAACTACTTTGGAAATCGCGCTGCAGTAAATCGCACATGTTAAGACACTGACATTCACATTCATTAGATGCAATGTCAGGTGTGATTTCAATTCGCAAATCACACCGGTATGACTGGACACAAAAGCTAAACCTATAAAGAAGAACTTACACACTCATCTCTTCTTCTTCTGCCTGCACTGCCAATCACTTCAGTAGTAAAGAGAAACATCTTAAGAAATAAAAACTGGGAGTATTGGATTCCAGGTTTACTGCTACACTCAGTGGTTCCTCCTTGTGCCACTACTGTGCCCTGTAGTGATGTAGGGGTTGTCAAGAAGAATCTGACTTCATCGAGGAACCTTGGAAAAAGAACCTGACTTCATTGAGAAACCTTGGAAAAAGAACCTGACTTCATTGAGAAACCTTGGAAAAAGAACCTGACATCATTGAGGAACCTTGGAAAAAAAACCTGACTTCATTGAGGAACCTTGGAAAAAGAACCTGACTTCATCAAGGAACCTTGGAAAAAAACCGACTTCATTGAGGAACCTTGGAAAAAGAACCGACTTCATCGAGGAACCTTGGAAAAAAACCTGACTTCATTGAGAAACCTTGGAAAAAGAACCTGACTTCATCAAGGAACCTTGGAAAAAGAACCTGACTTCATCGAGGAACCTTGGAAAAAGAACCTGACTTCATTGAGGAACCTTGGAAAAAGAACCTGACTTCATTGAGGAACCTTGGAAAAAGAACCTGACTTCATTGAGGAACCTTGGAAAAAGAACCTGACTTCATTGAGGAACCTTGGAATAAGAACCTGACTTCATCGAGGAACCTTGGAAAAAAAAACCTGACTTCATTGAGAAACCTTGGAATAAGGACCTAACTTCATTGAGAATCCTTGTAAAAAGAACCTGACTTCATCGAGGAACCTTGGAAAAAGAACTGACTTCATCAAGGAACCTTAGAAAAAAAACCTGACTTCATTGAGGAACCTTGGAAATCATAATTCCTGAAGGATCTTCAGCGGGTGCTTTTTCTTTATTAATAGCGACTGGTAGCACAAGAAGCAAGAGAGG